ACAAAATACGTTTCTTCGAAAATGTTTTAAAAACGTATTTATCATGTTTTTCTGGGAACAAATTCCGCAACATTTTTATTAAAAGAAGTACTCTGATTTTTATAAAGCATAAACAAAATCGGTCTTTTGTGGCCGTGATTTTGGGGATGCCACATGGGCCATGTCTGGAAATTATGAATAGAGTATTTTGGGCCCAATTAATATTATGGATATTGGATCTAGGCCCATTAGTGAGGTGGGCCCAATTTGGTAAATTGGACCAATGTTGGACCTTGTGTGAGATTTGGATTTTGGTCTGGCCCGATAAGTGGAAGTATGTTTGATCTAATGCTTATGCTTGTTATATTGGTTAGTTCGGGATTTGCGGTGAGTTGGTGGTTCGGGAGTCTGCTTCTTCCGTTCAGAGTATCGGCATTCGTGAGGTGAGTTATCCTCACTATATCGACAGGGTCTAAGGCACCAAGGCCGGCCCTTTATTGGATTGTGATTCGGATATGGTTGTTATGTTATTGCTTGATATGTCTGCATCCTGGTAGCTAGGATGGTATATGCTAGAGACCTGATTAAGGTCGGTTTCCCGATATGTAGAGTGATTCTATGCTAGTGACCGGTTAGGTCGGTAACCTGGTTAGGGTAATGATATGCTATGTGATCTGCTTGATCGGTTCGTTGACTATGACTGTTATATGATTGTATGTTATGTGCACATGGTTGTTTGGACTGGAGATGGGTTGAGGCGGGTCCTGCTTTGTGCTGTAGGCCAAGATACCCAGGGCGGACCAGTTGTTCCGAAGGCCTAGCGAGCGGTCCGGATAGGCTGTAGGCCCCACGAGGGCGGACCAGGCGTGCCGAGGCTCGGAGAGTGGACCAGGCTGACTGAAGGCCCGATGCGGGCGGACCAGTCATACTATAGACTCAGAGAGTGGACCAGGTGGGTTGAAGGCCCGGTGCGGGCGGACCAACCACACTGTAGACTCGAAGGACATGACTAGACTCGGAGGGTGGACCCGGTGGACTGAAGGCCCGATGCGGCAGACCAGTCACACAGTAGACCCGATATGCATGGTTGTTCTATGTTCTGTTATGTTATGTATGCTTTTTATGCTATGGGCCGGAAGGCAATATGTTATGGGCCGAAAGGCAATATGTTTTGGACTGGAAGGTCGTAGCCTGGAAGGGCGTATATGTGGTTGATATTTTGGGGGTATCTCACTAAGCTTTCGGGCTTACAGTTGTGGTTTAATGTTTTTTCAGGTTCTTCAGGAGACTGTGGCAAGGCAAAGGCGTGATCGTACCGTTCCTCGCATTTATGTTTTATGAAATGGACCTGGGAATACTCTGATAAATAATGTATTGAAAACATTTTTGGATTAATGTTATTAAAATGAATTGTTTTGAAAAGTTTAAATTATGTTGAAATTTTTGGTTGTTACACACACACTCTCTCTCTCTCTCTCTCTCTCTCTATATATATATATATATATATATATATATATATATATATATATATATATATATATATATATATATATATTGCTAGGTTATAATGTGGTTAGACGGCTATTGTGTGGGCGTATGGACAATGCTATTCTATGATAATTACTATGAGAATAAGTTGTTTAGTAATGCAAATACGTTCAACCTCACACAACTATTGTAATTTCCATGCATTCTCATTAATTCTTATTTATTTTTGTTCTCACGCATCGTTTTTCACTCATTTTCATTCTTATAGAATATGAGTCAATCAACATTAAGATAGAATGAGAATAATAATAAAAAAAAAGTCTATAATAACCTTATAGACGATTTAATCGGTGAGAATGTGTGATAATAACAATAGTTACGTAATATTGAACGTATTCACATTATCAAACTACAAATTTTCTTTGTCATTCTCACAGAATAGCAGTGTCCATACGTCCGTACAATGATGTTAATCCACAATTGAACCTAGTTTATATATATATATATATATATATATATATATATATATATATATATATATATATATATATATATATATATACACATTCTAACTTAAAATTTTTAAATAGAAAACTTATCTAATTCTCTCAAATACATATTTATTATCAAGTTTAATATATTTTCTATATTTCTATTTACAAAAAAAAATGGATCATTTTGATCCGTTCCATCCATACAATCATGATATCGACGAGTATAATATGTTCGTGGGTATGATGTACCGATATGCTACGGACATGTTACCGTCAGAGCCAACTCCACTACTAACCAAACGTGCGGCGTTGTACATATATCGTGAGGAAGGGCATAGACGTCTAGTACACGATTATTTTGCGGATAGTTATGTCTACCAACCAAACGATTTTAAAAGAAGGTTTCGTTTGCGGAAAAATGTGTTTCAATGGATAGTCAATGCAATGGAAAGCAAGTATCGTAATTACAGTTTAGGTATGAATAGTTCCAAATGAGGTATGATGCGAGAGGTAAACGAGGTTTTACAGGGTTGCAAAAATGTGTTGCTGCAATCAAGCTTATGGATTTGGGGGAGTCGTCCGATTCTATTGATGACTATATGAGAATGTCAGAGCGAACTGCATGAGAAAGTTTGTATAGACTGGTGAGAGGCGTTATCGAAACCTTCGGTGACAAATACTTGCACCAACCTTCATTCAATGACATATAACAACTATATGCGGCGCATGAAGAACGACATAGTTTTCTGAAAATGCTTGGAAGCATTGGTTGCACAAAGTGGCTATGGAGAAATTGTCCTGTGGCGTGGAAAGGTCAATACACAAATGGTCATCTTGGATCGCCTTCGTTAGTATTAGAGGCCGTTGCGTCACAAGACTTATGTATTTGGCATGTTTTTTTTCGGAGTTGTGGGTTCTAACAACGACGTAAACATTCTTGATCAATCATCAATATTTCAGGACCTTTTGACAGGAAAGGCATCGGATGCTCCTTTCAAAGTAAATGACCATGAGTATAAGTTCGAGTAATACCTCATGGATTGAATATACCCACCATATTCCACATTTGTGAAGGCGTTTCAACACCTGATAGAATGAAGAGACAAATTTTTCAAGAGAAGACAAGAAGGAGCACGTAAGGACATGGAACGTGCTTTCGGAGTTCTGAAAGCAAAATGACACATAATTGAACATACAACACAACCATATGAGTTGGACACTCTACGAGATATTATGTATGAATATATCATTATGCATAACATGGTGATTGGTGATAAAGGACGAAACATTGTGGAGTATTCGCCTATGGAACTTGGACACGTTCAATTTCAACCAAGGACAACAAAATACTTACATAAAGTCATTGATATTCAAGACCAAGGAAAACACTACCAACTTTAAGAATACTTGACAGATCATATCTACGATGACACTGAAGATGAATAATTTAGATAAAAAAAATGTAATTTCTTTCGTCTTTTTTTCGGATGTTAGGTTTTTAAATGTTTTTATTCTTAGTTGTATTGTTTTTAATTTAGGATTTAAAATTTATTTTTACTTTTTAAATGTTATTTTTTTACTTTATGATTTAATTTATAGGATAATTATAAATATTATGACATAAATAAATAAAAAAAGAAATTGGAAATATAGAAACTAAAAACATCAAAAAAGAATTAAAAAATAAAATAGAAAATAAGAGGTGTTATTACATGTTATTTTGTGTTGTCCATTTCCATCTTGGGTGTTATAACACCTATGTATGACTAGGATGATGATGTGATACATTTTGTGTGTGGTAACATGTTGCCCATACCAACAATTGAAAAAATATAACTATGTTCAAATTGGACAAAAAAAACAAAGAAGAATATCATAGACACATAGCATTGTTCTTAAGTGAACTACATTTGTTTTAAAATCCATAGACTTATGCATGTTCGACAAAACTAGCTCGTAACAGGTAGCAGGTGGCGGATATGATTTGATTTTGAAGCGTTTTGTTGAATGCTACTCCATGTAGCTTTTGATTTTGGAACGTTTTGTGTAGGTTAAAAGCTAAACCCCCCCTATCACCGAACAAAGTTTTTTCTTTTTAACTAGCGTTTTTTTAAAAGTTAGAAACAGAAGCTCTCAAACGTTTTGTGCCGATTAGATACTTTAAGTGATGAACCAATGAGGAACTTTAGCAATCGGAATTGAGCAAGGTCGGCGATTAAGTTACTAACCATCATTTTCATCATCTTTGTCCATTTTTTTGGATGATGTGTGCACGTATATACTCATAATAAGTCATATTTTGGATCTCTTAAGATATCAACCATACGAACCTTGTACTTTTTATTTTCTTGTGTATAAGAATTTAACAATTCTAAGTGTACTGTGAAATTACCATACAAAATTATTTATGGTGTCCCTACAACATAAGGGACAAATAAGTTTTGAAAAAATAACTATCCAATCCTCAATTATATCTGTTTGTATTTATAAACGGACCCCATGCACGTTTCACCCACCGAATATCCAACAAATAGTTTTAAAAAAATGATTCCGTTATATCATACATAGAGATATAGATACGTTACGATTTAAGAACACAAGTTGTTGTCCATGGTGGCCCCCAAGTTCTTGGCTCACACCCATAATTATACGACCCAAAGCACCATGCAAAATCCGGCTCATGACCCAACCCCAAAAAAAAATAAAAAATAAAAAATAAAAAAGATCACTTCGCCAAAAGCCAAATCTTGAAACGGGTAAAAAATGGTGACATGGTGCACCCCATGGGTCCTATTCCAGACCTGACCAGACCCTCACCATTTCACATTTTGTCAAATCACTACACATGACATTGGTTCACCAAACAATAAGAAGATTTTAAATACCCATAAAACCAACAAGAACGCATATGTTTTCCCAAAAAAAAAAAAAAAAAAAAAAACCAACATCAGATCTGATCATGTAATACTAATAGAAGCAAAATTCGAGATTAAAAAAAAAACAAGATGCAAAAATTGCCTCAACAGCAAACCTCGATTCTTACATATACTGAAGCCGAGGTTCAAAGCAAAATCCAGAAAAGATTTCAAGAGGAAACTTCTTATGCATCATACACCTTTGAGACCAAAACCATTGTCTTTTATCCATATCATACACAAGCAAAGCTGTCCCACCATAACTCTGTATATATATGAGATCCCCACCACCACTGCTTGCAAACACATCATCTAATTCCCCAAAACCCTGCACAAATTTATGAGGCATTCTACTGATTTCCATCCATTCCTTCCCATTCAAAACCCAGATCCCAATTCCCTTAATTACCCCTGGTCTATCCTGTCTCCCAATACCCCCAACAAGCACAACCTTCCCTTGAACACTCATCAACCTCCCACAAGTAAGCACACAAGGTGCTGGAATTACTAATTCCTCCCTCACAACAGATTCCATTTTCTCAAGATTGTAAGTTATTAACCCGTGAGAGTTCTGAAAATCAAATCTCCTCGTGCAAAAGACCAAAATGTACAAAACGTTGTCACATATCACACTCACGTCCCCTGGTCTCCACCCGTGCATAGTCATCCCCATCACCGGGGTTAACCATGTCTTTTCGTTTGAGTTATAAACGTGAATACAAACATCCCATAACAAGAAATCATCAGAAGATTGAATTGACCTGATGACAGAGATTGTGTATTTTGAGTTTGACTGGTCAACGGAGAATGCTAATGCCGTGTACACGGAAAAACCGAGGTTTGGTGGGTTCTTGATGGTCTCGTATTCGCGAGAAATAGGGTTACAAATGTACATTTCTTTACTGGTTTCATCATCCATGAAGCAGACAAGCCCACATGATGGAGCTATGTGCCATGTGTGATGCACCATGAATGGGAGCTCAAAGTTGTACCATTTTCGGAGACCCGAATCGTAGAGATAACCCACGGGTTCGACTGAGCTTGTGAACATGAAGTACCAGGTTTTTTCGGACAGGAAGTTAGCGTCGTTTAAGGTGAATTTCTTGGAGTGGACGATTTGGTTCCATTTTTTGCAGACGCATGATGCTTTGAAGATGGCTGATAATGGGAGGCAGGCTAGGATTCTTTCATGGATGTCGTCTGGGAGGATGTCGATTGGGACTGGGTTTTCTTCTTGTTTTTGATCGTTTTGTATGAGTTCCAAATTAGGAAGGAAAACCCCGGTTCCTTTTCTGGTGATTTCAGTCTCTTCGTCAGACCATGAAGCTTCATTCACATAGAAATTGAAAGACTCCTGAAACACAATCAAGATAGACGCGATTTCTTCTTAAAAAAAACAAACCAAAAATGGGGTGGATTAGTGCCGAATGATTTCGAAACTGTACAAATTGAAGGCAATATGATGTAAAATTTCCCCAATTTGAGTTCGTGAAGGTAAAAAAAAAAAAGGTGTAATAGCAACAACATCTATCATTACCGTTCACTAATCTCGGTTGGTGAAACCTAATCTGGGATCGGGATTAAAGAAACTGTATCAAAATCCTTAAAGTTTGGCAAATTCGTAGTGAAATTGAGAACATGAACAACATAGATCGATTATTTAAAGCATGTTAACATCAAAATGAACCATAATAGACCCCAATCGCAGATATATAAAAATGAATTTCAAAAGGGGGTTAAAGTTCATACCATGGTGGGAACGATGAGAGCGACCGGAGCAGGTGTTGAGCGTTGAACCGGTCTCCAGACTTGCTTACAACCAGGTGGAGGTCTCTGTGTTCATCAGAAAAACGCAAAAATTTCAGACAATTATAGGGAAAGCAGATAGATCCCACAAATTGTTCCTAGGGTTTTTTTGCCGATTCGATGAATCAATTCATTAAATGCCGATTATTGCCTTTAATTAACATCCCTTTTCGACCTCGCAGAAAAAAAAAAACCGACGAACAGCCTCGTGGTGCATTTGGGCCGGGGTACAGTGGGGGTTTGTGGATGCGTTACAAAGAACGAGAAGAACAGTGACGTGGTCTCCTCTGATTGGTTGATGTATCCACGTGGATTATGGTTTCAAGGAGACAAAGTTGGTGGTTTCTGCAACAAAATCAACGGTCCAAGACAATCCTCGTGGTGCATGGATCACAACAGCAGATCCTGGCCGTTGAATTTTACCGATCCCCCGCATCTCCGAACCAATCCCGTAAATTGCCAGCAAATTTGTTTGCTCGATCAAATCACATCATATGAACTTGGAAATCCTTTAATTTGCATCGATTTTGGTAATCTTTTAATGTTAAAATATGTATCGGTTAAAATAATCATGACAATTAAAGCCATCAATTTAAAATGTATTCTTTCTTCCAAAGAGGAAATAGTTTTTTTTATCAAGAATTAAAGAATATGTCTATAACGATGTATGCAGCGATAGCATCAGACTTCGAAAATCTTATTGAGATGGGTGTATAAACATGTATATCAATGAGAAATAAGAACCAAAGATGTGTGTGTATGCGCATACCTTGTATCTCAGCCTCCATGACCTATACATATCCGAAGGAGATGGGTATATGTTCTTTACCTAAAATGACAGAAAAGTTATTTGAAATTTTGTAATGATTTATGTGTTTTAGAAACACAACGATTTGGGCATTTATTTATATATAAAAACGCATGGAAATGGATGATATTTGAAATTTATTCACTTTAATCCTACAATCTCGAAGACTCTAGGGGCAATCTTGACATTCACGTGTTTTAGCGGTTGTTTCATATAATGTAATGTACTCACATTTTATTTGTAATAAACCCATGTTTTACAAGTTGTTTCATATAATGTTTGCACGTGTTGTTTCTAAAAGAGGATTAAGGTGTGATTGGTTTATATATATTTTTTTCCAACTTTTTCGTTTTATTTTATTTTTTCTAGCACATAAAACGTTCTATAAGTGGAACTCACAAAATATATGAGTTTGAGTCGCTTTAAAAACATATATATGAGTTTGTTTAGGGTATCATATATCTTATCAGCGTGTTGTCACGGAATGCTTCAATCACCGTGTGCCACTTAGTGTTTTTTTACTAAGTGAGGCTTACTATGATGTCTCAACGATGTACTAAGGACTTGGAAAGCAAGAGACAAGAATTGAGAAGTACTACAAACGAAAGAGAACTTTTATTATACAAATTCAAGAGAGTACAAGGCAACTTCCGATGATCTTGGAGCAAATGGCTACACCCATATTTATAGGGTGATTACACCTCCTCACCGGAATATTCTAAATACTACTACTTATTTCTTTATACAAGATTTCTCTAGGATAATCTATCTAGATGTTTACATTGTTCTATAAGGATCAAGATAAACCCTCATGTCCTAGAGAATTCTAGGACGCTCTAGGGTATTTTGGGACAAACTAGCATACTCCACTAGCTTCTCGAGTACTCCGGAAAATTCTAGATACCGTCCGTGACACTCTCCCCACCAAAGTCCTTGACATCCTCGTCAAGTCTTAGTTCAGTAAGTGTCAATCTTGTCACGGAACTGCCATAAATCTTTTTCTCTCTCCCAACTAGATTCGCTATCGGGGAATCATTTCCATCGTACGTAATACACTGTCCAGTTGGGCGATCCTCTTTTTTCTAACTACTCTGTCGGCTAAGATTTCATCCACATCCTTATCATATGAGACGACATTGGCGACTGGGGCGCGATGAGATTCACTTCTAGATGGGTCTTCCTTGTCTCGATTGTATTGTTTGAGTAGGCTTGCGTGGAATATGGGGTGGATCTTCAAGTTTAATGGTAACTTGAGTTTGTATGACCGCGTCCCAATCTTTTCAATAATCTTGTAAGGCCCCTCGTATCTTCGAGTCAAGCCTTTATGTACTTGTCGGGTAGATTTGAACATTCTTTAGGGAAGCTTTACCATTACTTCGTCCCCTACAATGAAATCTCTTGGCTGCCTTTTTTTCATCCGCCTATTTCTTCATTCGTTTGGTTGCCTTATTCAAGTAGGACTTTTCTATGTCGAGTTCATCATTCCACCCTTTTGCGAACTTATATGCGGGAGGGCTTGATCCTTTATAGCTTTTAGTTAGTTCGTTTGGTGTTAATGGTTGTTGACCCGTAGCGAGTTCAAAGGGACTCCTTCCTGTAGCCTCGCTTAGTTGTAAGTTGTAAGAAAATTGAGCCACGTCTATTAACTTGGCCCAATCTCGTTGGTTCGCACTCACAAAGTGCCTTAGGTAAATCTCGAGCAAGTGATTCACCCTCTCAGTTTGACCATCGGCTTGAGGGTGAAAACTTGTCGAGAAGTGGATATTTGATCCCATGAGTTTAAATAACTCTCTCCAAAACTTTCACGTAAAGCGAGGATCTCTGTCACTTATAATGCTCAGTGGGAGTCCCCAATACTTCACGACATTCTTGAAGAATAGTCGACTGGCTTCTTCGGTCGTGCAATCTCGTGGGCAGGAATAAATGTTCCATATTTCGAAAATCGATCTACAACCACCATGATGGATCTGTATCCTTCGAACATAGGTAATGCCGAGATGAAGTCCATCGATATACTCTCCCATGGTCGTTCGACAATCTGTAGTGGTTCTAGTAGACATGTCAGCTTTGCTTGTTCCACCTTGTCTTGTTCGCATATAAGACAAGTCTTCACGTATGCATCCACATCGCTTTGTGTACTTGGTCAGTAATATGATCGTTCTATAAGTGCCCTTGTACGATGGAAGCCCGGATGTCCAACCCACTTAGATTCGTCACATTCCTTCAGGACTTCACGCCTTAAGTTGTCCCATTTCGGATCATACATTCAGTTGCCAACTGTGAGTAGGAATCCTTCTTCGACCTAAAACTTTCTCTTCTTGCCTTCTCTAACCATATCCATCAAGTTGTTGGCTAATGGTTCGTGGCTCAATCCTTCTTTTATTCGATCATCAAGGTTACACGTTGCCAATGTAAGAGCTGCTAGTTCTGCCTTGCGACTTAAAGCGTCAGCAACAACATTGGCTTTCTCGGGTTTGTACTCCATGATATAATCGAAGTGAGCTAGAAAATCTTGCCAACGTGTTTGTTTGGGACCGAGTTTCTTCTGATTTTGAAAGTAATCGGTGGCCACATTATCAGTTTGAATTAAGAACCAGCTTCCAAGAAAATAATGACTCCATGCCCGAAGATAATTGATGATTGTTGTCATTTCCTGATCATCTACAGGATACCTTTGTTCTGTCTCATTTAATTTTTGACTTTTGTAGGCCACTGGATGTTCTTCTTGAATCAAGACTCCTCTTATCGCAAATTATGACGCGTCTGTTTGCACTAAGAAGGGTTTGGAGTAATCTGGAAGCTTTAAGACATGTTCTTTCGTGACGGAATTCTTTAAGTCGTCAAATGCTCAATTGACATTTCTCAGTCCATTCCCATATTACTTTCTTTTTTAGAAGTGGTTGTAACGACCCAATTTTCAAAAGAAAATTTTCATTTTTGACTAATCAAATTACATTTCCATAAACCAAAAAACCTACATACAATTGTTTTTAAAGCCCATATCAATTACAATTTTATTTCAAAACATCAAAGTATCCCATAATATATCTGAGAGAGTGCACGTTGTGCCATCAACCCTTGCCCTTGCCCTTGGGCTCAGAAGTACATGAAACAAAACCATAAACTGTAAGCAAATGCTTAGTGAGTTCCCCAGAGCATACCCCACACATAATCCACATATACACATATCATATCAGTTATAAAAACCACACATATCACATAAGTCATGCATACCAACATATAAGGAAGCCCTGGAAACCATCCACGGTCTTACTTTGGGTGTCATGGGAACCCCCACATGGTCTTAGCCCAATGCCTTGGGACCCCCCCCCCTCGAGGTCTTTGGCCAGGATGTCGTGGAAACCCTCCAAGGTCTTATACCTAAGTGACTCAGGAACCCCCCTGAGGTCTTCCATACAAGTTTCATAGATACAGCTAGTACATCACATATCATATAACCCAATAGTACATACGTAACAAATAATGGGTCAGCCTTGGTGCCTTTGACCTATTGATGTGAGGAGACTCACCTCTAACGAATGTTGTGCTGACATATAAGATCCAATACGTCCCAACATGGAGCTCCAACTTAACCTTCTATAAGCATCATAATATTAACTTGTCATAATCCCATAATTACCCTCAAAGTCAAACTTAGTCAACCATAGTCAAATTCAAGGTTAACAGTCCATGTTGACCCCCAAATCGTCGAGTGCATCTAGCAACTTGTCGAGCTCCTACCGATTTAGAAAACTTGAACAAACCATAGCCAACTCACCAAGTTGTTTCATCAACTTGACGAGTTCACTTGATATCCAGTAGATGGGGAAACCCAATCCGACTAGTCGAGTCCCCATCCCTGTTTGCTTACTATGATGATTCACCGAATGCAGGGACTCCAGGGATTAGATCTGAAACCCTAAGGTATCCAGAAGGATAAAGTTTTCTACTTCACTCTCTATAACCACTCCAAATGCTCTAAGGTCCTTATCCAAGGTTGGAAAGCTTCAAAAGTCTTGTCATGCATTCCCAAAACTTTGGGGATCTATAATCCCTCCTTTCCAGAGAAGTTTCTAGTCCTTAAAACGTTCTAAAGATGGAGGCTTTATGGACATGCATGTCCAATGCATGTCTTTAGGTCAAAATGGCCAAAAGGGGAAAACATGCCATAAAACTCTTGCATGGCATCCTTGCTTGATCAAAATCTACATCTAGCCCACCTTGGGACTATTTTTCCTTGGAGATCCATAAGGTTGCAAACTTTATGAACCCCGTGCATGTAATCAATAGGAATAAAAGAAAAAAAGAAGTAAACTCAAGATCTAGCTATAATCTAAGATAAATATCGAATGTTGAAGACTTACCACAGTTCACAAGATGGTCAAGTCCAAGAATGAGGGCTTGGTTTGCTGGATCTTCTTCTTCTTCTTCTCACTATCTCCTTCTTTTTAAGCTTCACAAGACACTCTAGCCTACAAAATGAAAGAGAATGGGGATTAAAGTTTAGCACAGACGTTCTTAGGGTTTGGAGGTTGATGGTAGGTCAGCCTCAAGGTCCTTAAGGAGATTATATAGGGTGCAAACCCTAAAATTAGGGTTTTCTCTCTACATCTCCTACTCGCCGAGTTGATACTTCCGACTCATCAAGTAGGTCCTGCCCCCGCGTCCATGAGGTGGCCTCTACTCGATGAGTTCGGGCATCTAACTCGCCGAGTCCATGCACAAACCCTAAAAATTCATGTAAATTACTTAATACCTTAAACATATGTTACAAATCTCCCCCACTTGTACTAGACTTCGTCCTCGAAGTCTGTTGCCCCAAACAAATCCGGGTAGTGTTCTCGCATCTCATCCTCTGGCTCCCAGGTCCACTCGGAGCCCTTGCGGTGCTGCTAGTGCACCTTTACCAGCTTCACTTCCTTGTTCCGAAGAACTTTGGTCTTCCTATCTAGGATCGCAACAGGCCACTCGATGTAGTTCAAGTTATCATCCACCTGAATGTCGTCTAGTGAAACGACTACGGACTCATTGGTGACACACTTTCGAAGTTGTGACACATGGAAGGTGTTATGAATCTGGCTAAGCTTATCTGGCAGGTCTAATCGATATGCTAGTTTGCCTACCCGGGCCGAAATCCTGAATGGGCCAATATATCGGGGCCCTAGCTTGCCCCTCTTTTGAAATCTGATGACCCCCTTCCATGGTGACACTTTCAGTAGTACAAATTCCCCCACCTAGAATTCGAGATCTGATCACTGTCAGTTAGCATAACTTTTATAACGACTTTGTGCACCCTGTAGCCGGTCGCACACCTGCTAAATCAGTTCGGTGATCTTGAGCACTACTTCAGTGCTCCCCATGACGCAGTGTCCAACCTCATCCCAACAAACTAGGGTTTTGCACCTACATCCATACAACATCTCAAATGGGTGCGGTCGATACTGGCATGATAATTGTTATTGTATGAAAACTCTGCCATCGGAAGGTATGTATCCTAACTACCCCCAAAGTCCAACACACAAGCTCGTAGCATATCCTCCAGTGTCTAGATCATCCTCTCGCTCTGGCTATCTATCTGGGGGTGGTATGTCGTACTAAAATGCAGCTGAGTGTCCAGTTCTTCGTGGAACTTCTTCCAGAACATAGATGTAAACCGAACATCCCTGTCAGAGACCATCGATA